AGTAATTGGGCTTAAATATAGGTGTGATTATAAAAAGGTTTTTATATGATGTGATTATATAGGAGGCGATTATAAAGTGGTATGACTGTATACTGTATATTTTGACTTTTAACGTGTAATAACTAATAAAAATAATATTTCTTTTGAATAATGTTTTGAATTTTACGTGATCAAGATAATTTCACGAAATACTATAAAAATATCAAAGGCACAAATATTTGGAAATAACATAAGCCAATCCTTTTAAATTTAACCATTTAGAGTTTTTATTAATTGGCAATCAAACTAGTGGTGCAGTTGTATTGAGGTAATTAATTACGACTGATTGCGGTAAGGTTGCAACTTTTTAGTAGTATTGATGTAGATAGTAACTTCGGTCGTAGGCTTTAATTATAGTAGTTTGTCGTAATTATAGTAGTATGTAGTATATCACGCAGTAAATCATAATATGTATGTTTTGATATGTAGTAATAAAATAATATAATAAACTATATATAATACGTAATTGATTTATTTAATAATAAAGGTTGTTTTTTTTATTTGTCTAAATCGAATTCAAAAATAACAAGTCTTGAAAAAGAAAGTTTGGACGATGTCTCTGCTTCTAGTAACAACATCACTACTTCTAGTTCAATACATTCAAATAAGAAGTAAAAAATTTGTGATCTTAACTTTGATAAGATATGGTCATTTTATATAAAAAAATCTAGCAGGGGTAATGGACATTATAGAGCAACTTGTTATTATTGTTCAACCAATTGGGAACATGGAAAACCATAAGTTATGAAAGCACATTTGGCCAATCATTGTGAAGATTGTTTTGAAAATATTAGTAATTACTGGCACCAAAAGTTAATTGAAGAAGCAAATACAATTCATGGTCAAACAGTTAATTTACAAGATGCAACCTGTATTTCTTCAGAATTAAAATGTCAAATTGATTATTCATTATTAAAAGCATGGATAATAGCTGAAATTCTATTTAATATAATTAAAAATCCTTTTATAGGATTTATTTAAAAAGTTAAAATATGATTTACCATTATGATTTACACCTTCAGGATGGCTTTTAGATATTTAAGTAGTACAAATAACTAATTTGGTTAATAAAAAGCTTAAGTATAGTAATAATTTAATATTAAATATTCATTATATATTAATTTATATATTTAAAGTATTGTATTTATATGTATTAGTATTAATAATTATTAATTTATTTTAATATTAGATGGTTGGATATTACTATATGCACTCTCTTTATAACTATGCTGTGTTGACAGTAAACCAAAAAAAATAACTTCTAAAATTAAAAAATTATTTATCATAAGTACTTATAGAAGATTTTTATTATTAGAAATATTTACTTTAATAGAAGATATTGAGAGTAAAAAATTTGCTGCAGTAGTTACAAATACAGCATCTAATTGTTGTTATTCACAAAAAAAAATTCAAGAAATGTATTTCCATATTTGAAATATATATTATATAATATATGCAATTAATTAATTCTATCTAATTTAGTTAAAGAAAATAATAATAAGGATCTAATTAATAAATATAATAAGGTGATAAAATTTTTTAAAGAATCACATCAAGGCAATTCATATCTAAACCAAGATTTAAACAAGATAAAAATTTAATTTGAATGACTTCATATATGGTGTCAAACTAGATAAGCTTTATTATTTTTACTACTAATTCTATATTATATACTAGATCTATATTTGACTAGATAAATAAGTTAAAATTTATTATTTATAAATATAAATAATAATAAAATATAATTTTTTTTTATAATAAAGATATTATCAGAGTATTAAGATATTATTTCTAATACTAAAGTTCTTATACCATTAATTGATAAAGAATTTTTTATAAATTATTAGCAAATTAAGGCTTTTTAAACACAAATTAAGGAGGTTGTAGATGTATTAGAAAGTAATTCAGCAAGTTTGACTGATTTTTTAATTATCTTATCAAGCTAGAAATAGCAATCTACTGAATATACTCAATAAATCTATTTAAATAATATGCAATTATAATTTTTAATAAAAGATTTAAAGAATTTTAACATTTTATTTAGTTACTATCATATTTTATTTATCTTGGTTATTGTAATAAGTATTATTTTATTTGAATTATTTTTATTTTTTTATTTAAAAAAAGAGTTTTGCTATTTGACGCCTGGGCAAATTTGCCTGAAAAATATAATTAGAATAATTTTTATAGATTATCAAATAATCACTATATTTAATAACAAATTTCACATATTTAATTAATAGTAAGAATATATTGCAACTAGCCTGTAATTTAATAACAGGCTTTTATAGTAATTATATTTATTTATAATATAAGTTGTTGTAGCAGTTGTCTTTTAGGATTTAAAGGACAACAAGCTTTTGTATGAGAAAATGAACTACAAAGACTACATTTATATTTTTTAATGGTAGAATTACTATTAATGTTTTGAGAATTCATAGCTAAATGCTCTTCTTTCAAACTACTTTGTATATGTAATTGTTTTTCAGATCTTTCAAAACCAGAAGGTCTTCCTTTTCCTTGTCTTTTAATCAGATTTTTGAATTTGTCTAACTTCTTTATTTTCTTCATTATTTTGATTTTCTTCACTAGAATTATTTATAATTTGAGTTTTATTTGAATCATGTATAGACTGAGTTATATAATTATTAAGTATTGGGGTGTGGCGACCTAGTGAAGTGGTGGGGTTGCTGCATCCCCAAGTGGCAGGTCTAGAGTTCGAATCCCACGGATGACGATTTTGAAAATTAGGCCTGTGATACGGTTAACGGTT